GGAAGAACTCTGGACGCTCGATTGGCCGTGGCCATTACCAGTCCTGTGCAACCTGACCTGACCTGACCTGAAATACTATAAGGGAACTGATACTGCAACTAACATTCTGCCTTTCAGAAACTACTATTGACTCGAAGTGCTGAAAGCCAACGAAACCGCCGAAAACACAAAGAACTGGACGCGCGATTGGCAAGAGCCACAATGCGTCCTGGGAGAACTGAACTGAACTGACATTGGACATTGGACATTGGACTGAATCCCCGTGAAGGTCACGACCTTCACTTTTGTGTCGTTCGTTTTTTACTGCAGCGTTTACTTCCGATGGAGAATCAGCTGTTCAACTTGCAGTATATGGCCAAAACCTTGGCAAGGTCGGCAGCTAGATGCGAGAAAGCTGAAAAGGAAGAAGAGCGAAAAATAAAAGTCGCGTTGGCGAAGAATAATCACGAAGGTGCTCGCATACATGCTGAAAATGCCATTCGACAGAAGAACCAAGCAGTCGCATTCCTCCGTATGTCCGCCAGAGTCGACGCTGTATGTGCGCGTGTTAAGACAGCCATCTCGCTGAAATCACTTACCAGTAATATGTCTTCTGTGGTGAAGTCTATGGATGCTGCAGCAAAGTCCATGAACCTTGAGAAAATGATGAAGCTAATGGATTCTTTTGAGAAAAACTTTGAGAACCTCGATGTTCAGTCACAAGTCATGGATAGCGCCATGGGAAATACAGTTACTCTCACAACACCAGAGGACCAAGTGACTGGATTGATGAGAAAGGTAGCTGACGAGGCGGGCATAGAACTCTCGAATCAACTCCCCGGAGATTCAGGTAGTCGGGTCTCCGTGAGTGCTGCCGAAGAAGATGATCTTTCCAAACGTCTTGCACTATTGAGACAAGCATAAAAACTGATCTTACTATGGTTCGCTGTGACAGTGTACAGTCGCTTGTTATTTACGTTTGCTCCTGATTGATCTCTCATTTTTGCGGTTTACTCTCATCTGGTATGTGTACCAACGGATTTAATCGACATAACAATTTATTATTTTTCACGCGGTAACTTTCCTATCAGTTCGCTCTTGGGGTCGAAAATGGGCTATGAGATGTTCGCATGGAATCATAAAATATGCAATCAATTTAATTAATTAGGAACTGTTCTCTTAATAGCCCTTGCTGTTCTAATGCAGTCGTTATTTAATATTTCAGAGTTTCATTTTTTCTCCAGTTATCTCATGTTCTACTAACCTTTTCAGTCTATCAAATTTCACCTCGCATGGTCTAAGAGTTGCAGGAGCACGAAGCCTACCATAGCAAAGGAGTACCTTACCGTCAATTCCTGAACCCGAACTAAGCCTCACAACTGTATAGGCATTATCATATCGTTTCTAGGCTTATAAAATTAGATTGGTTTATTTGGATACTGTTGTGAGAGAGAGGGAAATTCACAACTGGTTGATACTGTGTAATACTCGGCTTTGGGTTTAGAATTTGCACGTGTTCTGTTGCGTGACAGGTTGACTTTATGCTCGGCACTTGCTGACTTTTCCTTGAATTAGTAATTATAACCTTGCTCGCTGTCAGTATTCACAGCCACTGCCTCTCTACTTATCACGCGTGGCAAATGCTATACTGGCCTTTAAAACACTGCTAGCATCCTTGGAAAATTTATGCTGTTTTTTTGCAGTTCACCTACTTCATGTTTTGCCTTTTTGAGAATCAAGCAGAAGACAGGAATGTTTTCGTTAATTGAGATCATAGTGTTACTCGCTTAACACATACCATGACCTTTGATGTTGTTCCTATCTGCCCTCATTGTACTATGTATCTGATAAATATCGATGTGCAATGAAACATCATATTTACTTAGAACTTTGATCGATCCCTGCAACAAAACGCCACAAACCATCGTGACGTGCGTGATCTGGCTTGTCCACGCAAAGGACAGGTGCAGTCATTTTATTGCTCGACAGGTTGTTACTGGTCAAATAAGGGTTAGAGGCGCACTGTACGAGAAAAAAGTGATACTTTTCACCATCTTCCCTAAATACTTCATAGATCTCTCGGGGAATCTCACTTGTTTTCACATAGTAGAAAGTTGTCTA